TCAGGCATAAAATTCAAAATTTAGAAATGAAATGAGCTGAATGTACTTCTTGGAATGATTTTGCAAAATTTAATTGATCCACATATTAACACCTGTCAACTTCAATGTTACAAAAAAGAACTGAGCAAAAATGTAAATTTCATGCATTTGAATTTCATGCCTGACTTATTTCACATGAACCGATGCTCTTTAATAAGATTTGTGTATTAGTTGGAGATATTATATACCACTATTAGATTGATTCGTGAAACACTGTGTTAATGATTCCACAAATTGTGAATCTCTTGGCACTCGGAAGCTGTCAACTGATGCAAACGTCGTCATAGAATGCACAGCAATTACACTTCCTACAGACAAATGAAGATATAACAAGAGCAGCTAGCAAAATCAAATTTCAAATTTATTTTATTGATCGTGATGCCCTCTTCTCATAGGACATATTCTGCAGTCATACTTAGAACTGGCTCTGACCACTTTTTTTTTTATGTTTAAAAATGCAATCTTTTATAAATCTGATGAAATAGTATGCTTGAAGATTATTTGAACTTTTCAAACGCTTCAAATTTAAATTTGGATTAGTTAGAGTCGCTGCAAATAAGGGTTTTTTTTTTTGATTAACTGCTTTCCGTCTTTTTCCACATAATATAGCAATGTGTAACTGCAGCAGTAACTTACGCATGAATTAATATATTATATACAGTAGAACAATTATACTAGATTATTCGATTTCACTAATAAAGTATCGAAAAAAATATAATGAAACTGAAATCGAAGAAAGAACTAATTTCCAATTTCAGTTTCATTAAAATAAGGGAAAAATAAAGAGTAAAAAAATTCACGCATAAAATCTCGAAAATTCAACATGCAGTAAAACCAACCGTGATAAGTATCATCACCGAGCAGTCTGAACGAAAATTTACATTCCTTAGGAGATGGATGCATTGTTACCACCGTACTTTGTTCCAGATACAGATGTATCCTAGGTCTCGATGGTACACCAGAGTTAGTCCGGTACAAATGTACCATCCCAAAAAGAATTTAATTTAAGTAAAATCATGCATAATAATTAGTTTGAAAATAAAAAAGAAGAGTTTTGAGATTGTGTTAATGATATCAAAATGACACTCTCAATATCATTTAAAAGCAGCAATTTAGCTAGAATTAATTAGCATACAAGAGAATATGAAAAAGTTTGGTACCATTCATGATTAGCACTGCGATAATTAGTGCAGAATGTTTCCGTATCACCGAAAACATTGAAACCATTAACCGGCTGAAAAATTTGCACTGGCCAATCATAAATAAATGTTATTTCTGTAGGATCCTCATCATAAACTTTCACAACAGCACTCATTTTGCAGAACAGACCTATTCGGCCGATCTAAAAATGAGTTAAATCATAAAACGTATATTGCATTTCAATCTATTCAATATTTTAAATGTAAACTTAATTTTTTGCATTTATTCAAATTTGGGAAACATAAAACTTCTGCACATAATATTCAACTTGAACAGATATACCAAACATCAACAGCCATTGAAAGTGCAGTTGTTAAATGAGTTTTCTGAATGAATAAAACTCCACTTTGATAAAACCCATGTCCGACAAGCAATGAGAAGTAACAGTCTCTTTTCAGAAACTTTCCAAATAAATAAACTTTCTTTTGTCACCAGCCATCCACTTTTTCCCATCAAAAATTCATATGCTAAAATACCATTGAGCGATGCACGTCATATTCGTAGCCAAAATTTACTTCTTCGAGTTTACCAAGAAAATTAACTGTAGAATTCAGTTTCCATTCTAACAGAACTTTAGAAAAAGTTTTTATTCAACATTGAAATAGGTATGCTCAGACATCTTTTTTGTTCAAAAGAGTAAAGAATTTTGTACTTTACCAACTTCTTCAGGACTGTCTGTTTAGCTGTAAAATTTGAAATTCTCTAACTGGAATGTTTGAATAAATGCATCAATCACTAATATTTAGCAGTTTTATTTCTAATAAAGAAAAATATAAAATAGACATTCAGTAATGGAATCAAGAAAAAGACTTAAACTTTTCATTACATTTACAATGACCTATGAGACGGTAAAAATCGCATAAGAGGATATAAAACAATCTTAAAACACCTGTTTAAATTAGTCTGCAGAAAATAAGTAAATAGATTGAAATTCAGTTTGTTCGAAATGGCTTCCTTAACAGTTACTTCGATAACAAATTATAAGGCAACATAAAAAAGATTTATACAGCCATTGTCATTTTGATTGTTGGCATCGGCTGGTAATTTTCAAGAATAATTGATTCATAAGTGAAATCATCTATCGTTTTGATATTTCCAACAAATCGAACAGTAGGAAACGGTTGCGGTTGACGCTTAAGCTGCAAAACATGTTGCCGTAAATGTATTATAAAATATATAATGAAAATCTAAGATATCAAAATTAACCTGTTCCTGTAGCGCGTCAATATGATTCACATATACATGAGCGTCACCCAAAACATGACATAGGTAACCAGCCTGAATAAAAAAATTCATTAAGAATTTCAAAATTCTCAAATCAGTTTAAGAGAATGTCAAAAAAAAAATCATACCTTAAGATCACAAATATGTGCTATCATATGTGTCAGAAGTCCATAGCTGGCTAAATTAAAAGGCACTCCCAAACCCTGCAAATAAGAGTTAAAATATCAAAAGTTCAGCGGATGACTGGAGTAATAAGACTGTAAAGAATTATAAACTGCCATCAAACCATGTCTCCGGAACGTTGATATAATTGACATGAAAGTTCACCATTACGCACCGCAAATTGAGCAAGTGTATGACAAGGTGGCAGAGCCATTTGCTTCAAATCTAAAGTTAGTAAAGTCTTAAATTTCAAATCCAAAGCATCTTTTACAAAAAAAGAATAGAAAAAGAGTTTTTTAGAAGAGAAATCATGAAACTAAAATAATACCTCTAACATTCCATGCATTGAGTATAATGCGGCGACTGTTTGGTTCATTTTTGATCAGATTAATGATTTCAGATAATTGGTCGATACCTTGGTTAGTGTAGTCAGCATCCATGCCTCGATACTCAGCACCACAGTGTCGCCACTATTAAATTATTTTTTCAACAGAGTTGAAAAAATTATCAAAAAAAAGATATTAAAATAGTGAATTTTTTTGGTGAAAAAATGATGAAAGTATGTAATGGAAGTGAAATATGACGAAGTGAGCCAACAGCCCTATTATCCAACAATGTGCCATGATATTTAATGAATGCCATCCTTGAACACTAAATGTTTGATTAGTACAAGAAGTCAAAATTTACCTGAAAGCCATAGACAGGTCCTAAATCTCCTTCAGATCGATCAGTGAAGCCACACTGATCGAGAAACTGTCGAGATCCATTAGCATCCCAAATTTTGACACCTTTCTCAGACAAATGCTTTGCATTTGTATCTCCTCGAATGAACCATAACAATTCTTCAACAACGCCTTTCCAGAAGACTCGTTTTGTTGTCAATACTGGAACAACACCTACAAAAAAAAAAGACTAAAAAGTGTTTAAAATTACTACTGAAATTGAATCATTCTTTCAAATGATATAAAAGCCTCGGGAAATCTTATTCAAATCTTTCCATAGCAATGATATATTTAACTTTGACATGAAGAAATTTCTTACCATTTCGAAGTGAATAAATGGAATGCATTCCAAACACAGAGATTGTTCCAACACCGGTTCGATCAATGATTTTTTCACCATTCTTTAAAATATAACTAATCTGATTCAAATATTTCTTCTCATCCTCGTTCACTAATACATCGGCATCTCCCTCAGCATTACTGCAATTCTTCAAAGAGTCCATCTTTGATCTCTTTATCGCCACCAAAACAACTACCACATAACCCGAAGAAAATTTCCAACACTTTTAAAATCTGGCGCTAAGCGGTGAGTCTTTTTGATGTGGCCATTGCTGACGCGATATGTAGCCATTGTATCCCATCAATGAATGCTTCACATTCATTAGATGAGAAAAAAAAATGCATTAAAAAAATTCATTAAAAATGCTAGCAATTTTGCTTGAACTATGATAATGCAATGAGAATTGTGCGATATCGTTTTTAAATTGATTAATCTAATAATATTACAAACTAATTAATCCAATAATATAATTATATTTAATAATTTATTATTTCAATTTAATTTCGAAAAATCACATTATATCATATACTTTAGTAATAAGTCTATACTTTATAAACATAAATAGTTAATAATGATAACTGTATATGATATCAGTCAAAGGGTATTTCAGCAACTCTTATAAAAATGAGATAAATTGATTTCAACAAAAGATGTAAATAATGGAAAATAGATGGGGGAGGGGGGAAAATAATGATCTTAAATAAATAAAAGTTTTTGCAAATTTAAAAAATTTCATTTTTTATATATTGCCACTTTATGAAGGGTTGTGTGGAAGAAAAATTCAAATGAGAGAGATAATTCGAAACATTTATTATTATTATTATCCCGATTTTGTTGGTATAATTTTTATCGCTTTAAATTTCATTCTTCTCTCATAGTAAAGTTCGATTGAATACGCTCAAAAGTGAAAGAAATGTATACCAGTCATGTATTAATTTAATTTAATTTGATCAAATTTTAATTTAATTTTTTATCACTTCTTGGAAAATTTTTGAAAAAGAATACGAATTCAGATATCATTTCAGAAAATTTCTTGATGATCAAAAAAAATCATGGAAAGTCAGCAGTAACTTCTTCATCAAATGATACAATAAATGTGCATTTAACATTTTATTTAAAAAGAATGGCAAATTCTTTCACTGGAAAGTTAATGCTTTTTCCACTGCTGAAAATGCAAAATCCATCGGATTGGTTCGAATTTTCCAATTTTTTCATTCCTTCAAAAGAACAATATTTGTGACATAAAAATTAAATATGAAATTTAATTTAAAGCTTTTTGAATTGCACTCAAAAAAAAAAATTACTGATGATGATGATGATGATGATGATGGAAAATGAGAGTCGGAATTGAAAATTTTCTTGCAAATTACAGGCGAATACCAAAATGTGACACAATCGGATGCAAAGGATGGTATTGCAAAAACGATGAACACAACGGAAACATTCAAATTATTATTAAAATTTGTTCCCAATGAATTTGTGGAGAATTCCATCTCGCCGATTAGCATCTCATTTTAATGACAGCATTGCACACTTCGGAATTCAGTCTAAACCAAACAAAATCAGTAAACGGATACTGAAGAAGTGTAGCAAATTCAAGTACGGCAAACAGTCTGGCAGTTGTTAGCCGGTTGCGATTTTTGCCCTTAGCATTTTGTTTACGCATTAATTAGAACGCTGCATTGTTTATTGAATTATCAGCAATGCAGAGCTGGAATGCGATACGGGATGAGGACGAACCGGAATTGCTCAGCGTGACATAACACCTCCTTCCCTACTACACTATCAGCACAACCTCACCGATTCCTGATAAAACCTACTTGAATAGGTAAATAAAGGTTTAACTTAGTAACTAAGTTTTTGATGGTCACTCCGAGATGCTACTGTCCAACAGGATGGATTTCCTATCTGTATAACATGTCGAATATAATTACGATTTAGCTTTTTTAAGCGAAATATTCACTCATCTTTACATCATACATTGACGGTTAAAAATTATAAACAGCAGGAAAGTTAAAAATATTGTTTTTAAGCTTTGCATTCATATATGACAGATCTAAAGTTTGCAAAAAAAAAAAAAAACAAAGCAAAGTACATTAGTATGTCACTAAATGATTATACAAGTAAAATATTTCAAGATATAAATTAGAAACTGGAAATTAGAAAAACTACATTGATCCGATGAATATTTTACAGTTTTGAATAGATTGTATTGAAAATAAAAAATTGAACCTCTAAAATGGCTAATCTATGACGATGCTATATCTGAGCCAATATGCACAACCGGTGAATCATTTCATTGTTTTAATATAAAGAGGAGGTCAATTGGAACATTAGCGCTTTTCATATTGCAATCAAGTAAAATGAAACGGAAATGTTGAAGATCTCATATCTATTGCATGAGAAAAAAGGATTAAAAAGATTTGGTGAATGACTGCATGAATTGATGACAGGTCAATGTCACCTATCAACCGATCCCACAGAGAAATCTTATACAGAGAATGTCATATTTCACCAATTCACTCCTCTCATCATTTCTATCATTACTATAGAGCGGACATCATTTGCTGGGTGAAATTTCCATGTTCTGCCCCATTTCATTGCTGTCTCTATACTTTGAAATCACAAAATATTGTTCATATTGCCGTTTTGTTGTTATTGTTTGTTATTATTATCATCATTATTATTATTTATTATCATTATTATCATTATCATTATCATTATTATC